GGGCGGGGAAGACGGCCGTTGCCTGGTGTGTCGTAGTCAACTGAGTAGAACTGGCATGTGTCACCAATGGATGGAGCTGCTGCAAGCAGATGTAAACCACCGACGCTTATCATAAGCAACGAACACACTCATCCCTGAGACCGCAATCCAGCCCGGCACCCGGCCCCCTCCCCCCCCCCCACCATGTTGAGGCGGGGGTTGTTGTCCAGCTGGCGCAGGTCAGTAATGGCCTGGAGTGAATTTTTGCGGGGTGGGGAGATGCGATGATGAATAGGAAATATAGCCGGGTATCATATGCTTGCTGATGTTGTCGCTTGGTTGGTGGCAGTGCTGTCATTGGTTGAGTCGGTTGCTCCAACAGCAGCGGCGCCCTCTTAGCACCTCATGAGGCCATGACTGGCCGTTATGACGCTCACCTGGTAGCAGACCTTGGCCGGTATCGAGTGCTTGGGCATGTGGTACCTAGTATTTAGTGAATTCGATATCAGCCACGAGGGCGTTTTTGAGCACGGCCTTCCGCTTGCAAAGGGCGGGCGCGCAGGCCAGCGGAGTGCACGGGGCTGCCATGGTGCCACGGCTGCGGCATCGGAGTGCTAGGGTTTCTGTCTGGCGGCCTGCTGGGGCGAGACTGCTGCGGTGGCATGCTATGATGAGCGGCTACAACCTTGGCCCAAAGATGGAAATTTTTCCCACGTATTGGCTCACTTTGGCAGTGCGTAGACATCAAAATCTGGAAAGGGGTGGCGATGGGGAAGGTGCGGGCAGCGGTCAGCAGCGTCAAGCAACCGCAGGAAGCCACGGCTTGAAAAGGCACCCAGGCAGTAAACAGTACGTTATAACAACTGTAAGACTTTCAGGCACGCATGAATCCATGTGTCGGCCTCTCTTGCTGCCAGTATGGCTGGCTGTTGCTGCAGGTGCTCTGCTGAGGTGCATGAGAATGTTCCCCTTGATCTGCCACTGCGCGCTCAGTGCAGCGTGGCCTGGCTGCGGGGGGCTGCACAGCCAGATGCCACATGATAAAACGCCGCATATCTCACCACTGGCGAAGACCTGGATGTCGCCACCACCTAGTGCCTCAGCCACGGCATCATAACGAGCGGTGTCTTGTCGCTCCAGCCCCGGGCGAGTCACCTGCTCAGCTGTAGTCTCACCGGTGGTCATCCCTTTTGTTGCTTAGTGTGTACACGCGGCTTTGATTCGCTGCCAGGGCAGTTGCGGAACTGAAGTTTTGGGCCGCTGAAAATATCCCACGCAGCCTAGCTGGCACAAGCTTGGGCTGTGGCGTTGAGAAGTTTCGAATGACTATAGGACGCGCTCACGAGGGAACGCCAACCCTGACATGACGACCGACCGGTTGGGAGAGGCACTTGGTGACGCCGGCCGCTCGCTTTACTCAACACGCGACATGCAGCTGAGCAGAGGCGTGGTGGCAGGTGTGGAGAAAGCTGTCGGGAATCTGGGATCCACCAAGATCGATTTCTGAGCACCAGCGAGCACGTGAACCCCGCGATGCTTCCAGACTCCCCTGCACGCCTTACTCTTGACTCTGAAACCCACATGTGCTGTCACCCAAGCCCCTGTGCCACCCGGTGCGTCCGTTTGTGCAGCCATGAATACCATACGTTGGCTGGTGGGCGAGCGCTATTAATGAGTAGAGGGCCAGGCCTCTGAGCGGCCGCCGCGTTGACCGCCGACCCCGCCCCAGAGCAAGTTGGGGCGCCGTGACAACTCACACCCACGGCCAGTGGGCCGCAAGGCATGACGGCTGCGGTTCCATACATTGTGCTCGCCCCCTATTCTTGCATGGTGGCTCAAACGGGCTGCACGAGCAGGCCATCAGACATCCCAGCGGTGCATTGGCCGCTCGGTTACAACGGCGGACTCTGCGCGGGCCGGCGAGGCAGGCAATTGCGCCGGCATGGGCCGTTGTTGGATTGGACACTTGGCCCCGTGCAGCGGCACCGCCGCCACCACGTGCACCGGCGGCGCGGATGCCCAGAAAGGGTGAACTTGGGCCAACTGAAAGTGGTGACCAACGGAACAGCGACAAGAAACACACAGCGGGCTGCGAGCGGGGGGTCGTTTCAGCAGCCCGCGCCGGAGGGTTCACAGGTACAAGGCTCGCGGAAAACGCGGCGGCGGCTGGCAAGCATCGGCGGGCAAGCCCCAGACGTATCAAAAGCGCCTGGAGGGACCCTCGCCTAGTAGCGACAAGCTGTTTCGTGTGTGCATCCGAGCTGCTCCCGGCGGCGCGCATGTGTGGGGCTGCGCGGCCAGGCGTGTGCTCAGAGGGCGAGCACCGAAAACTGCTTGAGCACCTCGTCGGACGACTTGTCCTGCGCGAGCTGCTCGGCGGTGCGCCCACTGTTGTCTCGTAAGGACGTGTCGGCGCCAGCGTGGAGGAGCGTGGGTATCAAGTGGCCCGCGTTGAGGAGGCTCGCGATGTGCCTGCGGCAGGGGGTTGCGCGGCGGGCAGGTGGGAGATTGAGAAATTGGTGTTCGATGACCAACAGACCAACGGGAACGATGCAGGTGCAAACAGCGCCACCTCGAAGTTGTTGGGGTGCGTTGATGCTCAAGCGCAAGGTATCGGGAACGCCGAGGCGGCGGGCGCAGGGGGTTGTGCGCAGAGTGGGAAGGGGAAGGGCTCGCCGCGCTGGCGGGGCTTGCTCACAGAGGCGTGTGCCCATTTGCGTCCTGCAGGTTTATGTCGGCGCCGCTGTCCAGCAGCAGCTGCATCATGCCCTCCTGTTGTGTGAATGTGAGGGGGCGGGTTAGGCAAGCGAAGGCGCTTTGGTACTTGGTGTGGGTGTAATCTGTGCAGATGAGGCCGACTCAACCAGGGCTGTGGAGATGATGTTCAAAGGCTCATGCTGAGATGCCAGAAGCCTCGGTGCAGAGGGGGACGCGCGGCATTGGGAGGGCCGCTGCTGGCCGCCGCACATTGGCTGCCGTTGTGGCGCCAACGCGCCCCTGCCAAGCCCCACAACGGCAGGCCCGCATGCCTGCCGCGCGCCCAACGCCCCCACACGCGCCTGTTTGTGGTACGTCGCCACCATGAGGGCTGTGATGCGGCGCTTCTGGGGGCTGCCCTGCTGGTTTATGTCCACGCCGCGGTCCAGCAGCAGCTGTGCTATGTCCTCGTTGCCCACCTGGGACATGGTGTGCGTGCGTGGGTGTGTGTGGGGCTGCATGCGCGGGGTTGTTGCATGTGCAGCAGCAGTCAAGCGAGAGGCGTCGGAACACCAGCCAGTGGGCGCTGGATACGCTATACCACCTATGCCAGGTGAGCCGCAAGGATAGGAGTGTGCAATAGAAGAGCGGTGACAAGCCGCCAAAGTGGGGCTCTGAACTCTGGAATAAGGCGCGTTGCGGTGATGCGATACCGTTGTGGGGCTGGCACAGTCCACCAGCCGGAAGCAATCCCTGAAAATTATACTGATGTCATCGGATCAACCCACCACCCACCCTCCCCTCAACACCGCCGTCATTGCCGGCGCTCTGCCCCCGCCCTCACCCCGCAACCC